GATGCATGGATGGATGCATGGATAGATAGATAGTTGGATTTTTTTGGGCGTTTTCCTTTCAACCAAGCGGTCACCAACTGAGTAACGCCACTGATTTCCCCGGGCAACGCCGGGTATTCCGCTAGTACAAGATACAATCTTGTGAAGCTAACAGTTAAAGGTAGGAAAAACACTACTTGGTTCGGTGATCTGTGTAATTCTGCTGCCCTTTGTTCTGTGAAAAATTCCAGTTAAAACGATATGCAATTTGTAAATAATACACCACATCATTACATGACACATGTAGATGATCATGTACATAGACTTCGGAAGTGGATCTGCAACATAAGAAGAGCCGATATTGACGGGTTAAAAGACATCCAATGCAAATATCTGCTAATTTGCGAGGATCATTTTGAGGCATCTCAATTTATGTGCTCGCTGACAAGGGTTAAAGTCACTGGCTGCTTTGAAAAGTGATATGCTGTACCTATTTAAAAATATAACTATTATTAGTATGGGAAATTAGTAAAATACACTGCTTTCTCTGCTTCTCGTCGTGTGACTCATGGGTCGTTATACATGTACTAGGCTTGATTTCATGAAATATACATAAACAGAAAAATACGTTTGAGAAATATTCACTGCTGGTCACTGAAGTATATCATTATTGCTTATGGCAATATCAAAGCTAAATCAACACATGCTGAATAATTAATCAACAAAACAAAAAAATTCAAACTGTCTGTATTTTACCTTATTTTCCATAATTCCTTCACCCGATCCCTTCCACCTTTATTAAAAACACAAGGGCAAGTAAAAAAATTTAAGAGGCTAAGAAAGGATGCAGTTCCATCTCTGATAGAAGTCAGTAACCCTCCTGCACTCCCAACTTAGAACCAAGCAAAATCGTAAATTGCTGAAGCTCCAGCACTTGTGATTAAGCTTCTTAGCAATAAATGTGATTAATGGTATTTGAGTACAAAATATGAAAATTATATCGTCTTTATTATTTTTATTGTTTGCAGAAAAAACAAACATCTGACAAAATCCGGTCACAGACTAAGGAATAAATTAAACTAAAGACTGTAGCACAGTATACCGTGTGCAAATTACGCATTGTGATGTATTGTGTGTATTGTGCATTAGTCTGTGATACGGTGTGGATGATCGTTTTGCATGTAAAAATAAATGTATAGCCGTTTAATAGAGCAAAATCTACTTTCAGACTAACATTTGACCTTCTAGATTCAGGAATGTATAATTAAACTCCAGTCCAAATATTAGAATTAACAATAGAGACGCTTTAATGTTACAACATTACACATCCACGGTCTGTCACCACAGCCAAATTTTTAGTGTACCGCTTCATTCGCTGGGCGGCGCCACCATTCAATTGCATTACACTATTTTAGCGTATCGTCCAGTCTGTGTATCCGTTAGTCTGTCGGGGAGGGGTTACCAGCCCGGCCGTTGATCAGTCGCTGTGTGTGTGCCTGACATAATTGATTGTAATTCTACTGACAGCGGCGAATATTGCTGCGCGCTGCCACGGCTCGGGGTCGTTGACATATATATCAATGGTACATAACAGAGATCGCTATGATGCGATCGGTCCCAAGGCAGACGAGGCGAGGCATGGTGCGTCCGGTGCTAAAAACAAACGTGAGGGCTATTGTTGAAAGAAGTCTACAATAAATAAGTTATTCTTATAAAGCTAAGGATTAAAAGCCATACAAAGTAATCCTGCCGCAAATTGGGTCACGCGTTGCAGCTATTTGTCTAGAGAATCGCCGTTTTTGGGCATATTTTTTCCGGTGAAATTCGGCACTGGAGTGCAATAATTGCAATTATGCCACGCCAGTTGGATGCCTCGTGACGTCTACGAAAACAATAGAAGTAAAATCGGTCTTGTCGATGTAGTTGTGACATTCCGCAAAGTGTGAGCCATGTGACCGGTAGGCCATTTTTGTGTTGAAACGGATATCGACTACTTTGTAGAAATTCGCATCATGGAGCTGGCTAAAAGTTTCGAGCGAAGCAATAGAGGCATGAATCTGTAGTTATTAAACATCGAAATAAAGTGTAGCTTGTGTATTCGACGAAACAGGTGAGTATTTCTGTTCAATGCTTATTCAGGCCTGCTGGCTAATGGCCGCCTCTACTGTTGTAACACCACCTTAAGCGGCCTGGTAAGGAAAGCTGTTCTGGCCAAGAACAAACCGTAAAGAACTAACGAAGTGACAGGGGAATGAAGCGAGGGGGCGAGCCGCGGCATGCACTTACGCTGTGAGCGCTACCGGTGTGGCCCTAACGCTTCAGCTACCAATCATTGAGTCTGTGGCTAGAGGCCACCCCATTCAAGGTTCTTAAAAAGCTTTCCGACTGATACTCTATACAAGTATACGGAATTACTGTTTTTAATCGTCAACACAGCAAATGTTTATTGATGGACTCCTGATTACATGTGTCTACAAGCGCGTTCTCCTTCCACGAATTTTTTTTCCAACTCCCTCAGCCCTAGCACACAGCTAGGCACTTGGAACGTGGTTCAATAATAAAAATGATTGGTAAATAAACAACGAGATGTATTTCCTATCAAAGTCTTTAAAGTCTCTCTACTGCTGTCCTTCGCCTATTATTACTAATTATTTTCCTGGTAAAATGAAATGCTGTTTCAAATGCTCCTACTGCGACATAAAACTTTAACCGCACGCACGCACAACGCTGTGCCACGAAACACAAAAACAAGAGAATTTAATATACGAATTGACGGCTAATAATATCGCTATTCTAAACACCAACGCACATATATGGCGGTAATCGCCTAAAATGCGTATGTGCGCATGTGGGCGGTACCATTCTCCTCAACGCCCCCTCCCGCCTCATTCCCATTTCGCAGTAACGATTCTTCTCGCTGGTAGCCCATAGATCGCGGTTGTTTCTCAACAGCTTGAGCTAATAACAGCACCGCACATTTATACCAATCTTTCTTCGGCCGCAATAGCACCCAGCGGTTCAACGGCAACGCCTCCCTCTTCCTCCCCATCTCGCGCAGCGCCAAGTCATCGCCGACTCAAAGACACCATGCCATTCTTTACCGCGTGCTGCATCGCTTCCAGTTATTACAGCCGCGCTTCGTCTCGCATCGTCGAAGTCGGTAACGAACTGCGCGCAGCGACGTCCTGTCGGCGTGACGCGACGTCCAGGACGTGTGTGAAACAAGCCACCTCCGCTGCGCTGCTGCTGCTTGCCGTTCACACATCTGCACCAGCCACCACGAACCCCATCATTCCACGAGTAGCGTAACGCGGCAGCTCCCGCTTGGCAGACCGAAGGATCGCTGCGAGCGTCGCTTGCTGTCGAAAGCATCCGTCCCGTCTCGCACACGGATGCCGTACATCCGACGTACGAGCCTCCTGGGAGAACGTCCGTGACCGCCTCTCCACTTCCGTGTATCCCTCACTCGAGTCGACCGTCGAATACTCTCGATCATTCCTTCGGTTTCGCAAACGGCAAGACTGCCGGAGTTTGGTGGCGAGTGAATCGCTCATCTGTAGATGGTCAACATGAGTGCGATCGCACTGATGAATGCCTGACGAAGGATCCCGTCCCCCCTGCTTCTTTCGCGCATCCAATGGCCTAAAGCGTTGTAGGTAGGATCGCGTGAAACTGCATTACACGACCGACCATCTGGTTTCTAGTGAGGTCTCACCGCTAACGGGCATTCAAATTGTACGTAACTCGTGTTGCCACGCTCAAATCATCGCGCGAGAACGGTAAAAGTGGGTGAATGAATTCCGGAAGTTTAGTATTGAACTGGCAGGGGCTAGCCAGCTTTTCCAAGAGGGGGGTCCTTTCCAAAAGGGATTCCAAACTCTAACTTACTACATGTTATTACGAATAAACTTTCGTTAACATTTTTCGTTCTCATTGCTTTTATATGTATCATACTGTGATCAGATATGTGCTATTATTTGGATACAAACCAGGAAGAATTCCGGATGCCTGGAACACCCCTGGCTACGGGCCCTTGAACTGTTCTTACTTATAAGCCCATTGTCCTTTAATTTATCTAACCCGTAATTGCGGCTGGTTAACCCTTTCAACGCCTGACAGCGTTAAAATATATACTTTTGCCATAATACCTGAATTCTTATCCTTACAAAAATCTCATTTTCCGCGTAAATACTGCGTCTTTCCGTTTTTTCTTACACGATAACGAAAACGGTAAAAGGGAAATAAGAATTCGTTTTGTACCGTCAATACGAAACGAAGTGGCGCTGCAGTCGACTCGCGGGCATGCCGCCCATCGCACCATGGCATCCTACCGACCAAGTAGTGATTCTGTCTCGCTCTGTTCGTCTGCCATTGAAAACAATTGATACTAATGCAATTTTAGAAAGAATTCCGACGGGACATTTCATAAAAGACAAGTAAAGAAATTCAGCATTATGGCACAACGCGCAGTACAGACTACAAGGTAACTACTCACGTACAATCTATCACTGTCTGCGGCGTAAGGCGGCAGCTCTGGTGGTTGGTGTTTCACGGTTATTAGAGAATAAATTATAATGGTGAATTTTGTGATTTTATTTGTTTAATAATTAAGCGTAATGTTTAGGCAAGTCCACTAGTGATGGAACTCCTAGGGCTAGGCTGCTACGGCGGTTTCCACAAGCAGTGTCAGTGTCGTGAGGAGTCGAAAAACTATATGGTAACATTGTTTTGTGGCTATGTCAATATTATTTAATTAATATTATCTGATAATATGAATATCATATAGAATTATGATTATGTTAGCCTATTACAGTATACTATTAGTATTACTACTAGTGAGAAGACTAGTACAAAATGTATTGGATGGTATTGCTACTACCGATCGATCTATAGCGGGTAGGATAGCTACATCAGGCGTATAAGCTATGGCGCCGTAGACGGGGTGTGTCACATCAATGAACACATGGCTGCCCTAGGAAGGAAGCTCTCATGATTAAATTTTGGCACAAGTCTAACCTTACCTCTGACAAGCTGAGCCGTTACATTACAGCTGACGTCTTTAGTGCAATCCACGAACCAGTAGAGTATATGACTGCCCATGTCCATGCGAGTGATATATAATCCGTGCCTGCCAGTGAGTTTGCAAGGTGATATGACCCTTTCAATCTTGAATCTGCCATGCCAAATTTATGGTGTTGCACAAAAAATCTAGAGTTTGAAAAAAGCTGAAGAAAATGAGAATAAGAGTGAAAGCGGAGAAAAGGACGAGATTAGAAATTTGTTTCTTAACACAGAATTCCCCATTTTTGGAAGAAAGAGTGTTGAATCTGCTCGAGGGAGAGTGAGATCTAGAGAATGAGAAACAAAGAAAGGAATAGAGGCACTATAGACAACAGAGGAGAGAGAGCGATGAAGAGGAGAGAGAGAGAGAGAGAGAGAGAGAGGAGAGAGAAAAACCTCAGAAAGATCTGTCAGAAGAGAACTACATGTAGGTTGGGACAGTCAGTTTTGTTTGGTGATATAGCATAGGTTGATATATAGGTGACACAGACAGTGGATCGTGTAATGAAGGAAAGATAGTTTTGTCGAAGTGCGCGTTCAATAATATATGTCCAGTTTTTACTGATTCTGTCGGCCTAAGTGCCTAATGCCGTAATCTCCGCTGGTAAACTTACAGTCGCGACGCAATGTGTAGTTACAGTTTCGTGTGCACAGCGAGCGATTCGGCATCCGGCGTCACATCGAAAAGATTCGGCGCTACTCTAATCCGGGGGTAGGGGAGGGGTTACCTAGCCCGCGGTGCATCAGCCCTCGCTGGTGGCTTGAAAGGGGTGCGTTGTGTATTAGGGTACCTTAAGCCTAACCCTAGACGCGTAAACCACTAACGCCTATTACCCTAACGCCTAACCTAACCGCTACCCTAACCCTAACCCTAGACCCTAACCCTAACCCTTAACCTTTAAACCCCTAACCTAAAACCCTAAACCCTAACTCAATCAATATCATATCATATCATATCAAATCATATCATATCATATCATATCATACCATAACATATACCATATCATAATATCATATCATATCATATCATATCATTCAGTATCATTCATATCATATCATTACTTCATATCGATATTATAAATATCGTTTTTATATGGTATACACTTTCGCGCGCTATGTTTGTGTCCTTGCATATATATAATTATATATAATATTGTAGCGACCAATATTACATTCAGGTTATACTATCAACGGGGCATCCATTTCATTAAGGCTCGCGCTACATGCATTCGTCAACATCCATAGAGAAATATCAAAGCATTCCTTATATGTGACGGATCTTGCACGGCAGATCAATACGGCATTGTCGTCGCAGGTACTAGGAACCATCGAGAACCGGGCATACCAAATTATTCAGTATTGAACATATCCAGTCCATCTAACACCGCGACCTATGAGAGTGACGATGGCGCACGTCTTGGCGACGCCATCGTAGAGGTAGAGAGAAGATGACGGCGCATGCGCAGGACATAAGAGCGGGAAGAGGGGAATAGAAATAGGGCGTTGGCGCGTATCGTGGTACACTGTTTACCTGATCGCACTAGCGCTTGGTACGATCTAGTTCTTGTCACCGATTTTCGTTCCAATCAAGATACGCCTTGTCCTTTATCCACAGTATTCGCCTTTGACTATTTGTTCTCAGTTATTCCCCTACCTTCCTCACTCACTGTTGTGTGGCGTCACGCTATACGCTACAATATATATAGCGGTATATAGGTCACTTGTTCTTAGATTTACGATTACGTTAGATCACGAGAACCGACCGATCGATGATACCTGGTTACTGAGACTGATCGATCGACCCATCGTGGCCACTGGACCAACTACGATTCAAACACCACATAGACCCCTCGCTATTCCACCCCTGCCAATAGACTACTCAACTCACGGGCGCACTCAGCAGTAGGAAGGGGAACACGACAATAGATTTCTGCCATAAATAGGGTAACGAACGTATATATCACAAAACAGTAGAGAATTGGTTTGTAAATCGCGGCATAATCAGCAAGCTATTCACGAGCTTGCTATTATGGTTCGTACATGCTGCCGCATTCATTGATTACATTCTGCTCGTTTTGTCTTCAGTCGTTGCAACTCGTATTAACGATATGGCGTATATGTAATACCGTCGAAAGACGGATAAGTAAATATCTAGGAATAGCCTATTGTTCTGGTTGGCATATATGACCAGCTGTGTAAAGTCGTAACGCGAGAATAGACAGGATAGAATTAGGCCAATTATAGACAAGCATGTAGTACGGACTGACTAGAAACAATAGGTAGGCGTGTCTACCTATGGCAGTATATAACCGCGTATGCGACCAGAGAACGACACAGAGCGATAGTGTAATCGAAATACAGGCATATAATATCTTGGTTAGAGACAGCGACTGACAGCTTATACCTCGTAAGTTATGTGAGGTTTCCTCGCGTACTACACTGTACGCATTCGCCACGTTATGGGCGGATGCTAGTTTAAGTAGTGTCAATAAAAGTAATTTCATGAATACGTCATACTGTGCGTTATCAATCATTCTTCCATTCGTTCACATAGACGCTAGCAAGGGTGTATTAAACGCACTCACGCGTAACCACTGACGCGATCACGGGTAGCAATAGACATCCTTACATATATAACAAGCCCGTAGGCGCAGCGTCAAGGTCACCAACAGAAACGTCGCCGCGACGAAACATTATAAATCACAATTATAATCATAATCATATTCACAATTATATTCATAAATCATAATTATAATTACAACCATAATCATAATTCATGAATCGTAATAAAAAATATAATCGAATAAATAAACCGCTATATAACGTTTTAGTTATCAACGAAATGCGCCCTCCTGCATGCTCGCTCACTGCGACCGTTAGAGACAGCCAGCGTTCTCCGCATCACAACACGGGCAGCGCATCGGCTGGATCCGTCACCGGCATCGGCGGGTGGCCGCCATCTTGCAGCAGTTCGCCGACCGTCGCCACGTAGCTCTCGGCGAGCGCCTTGAAGGCGTCCGAGAACGGATCGAACTGCTTCGCGTCGCCAGCCGTCGCCGACGGTCGATGGAAGTCGCCCTCGATGTATCTGACGGCGCAGCTGAGTCGCTCCTCGAAGTCCGACGCGGCGTCGACGCGCAGGAAGCGCGCGATGCGACGCAGCTGCGCGGTTGCGTCGGCGCGCACGTCGTTGTAGTGGACGACGAGCAGCGGGCGCACGCTGCGCAGGTAGACGGAGTTGAGCAGGTACCAGGCGCGCAGACGCTTCGTCGCGAAACCCTCCCAGCCGCGGCTCGCGAAATCCTCGCGATGGAGTTGTCCCGTGTGGCTCTTCGTGCGCATGAGCTTGTAGTCGGCGACGATGCAGCGGTACGGGTGGCGCACGATCAAGATGGCGCCCGAGCCGTTGACGGCCAGCACGACGGATCTCATGTTCTTGTGCGACTTGACGACGATCGTTGTGCCGTCGTTGCGCCGCTGTCTCTCACCGACGAACTGGCGCGCCATGAGATCCTTGTCCTTGTAGATGCTGCCCGTGAAGACACCCGACGTCATCTCGATAAGGTAGCGCAGCCACGTGTTTCCGGATCCGGGCGCGCTGGCCAGAGCGACGACAGGGTGCGCTCCGATCGGGTCCAGGCAGACGAGCGAGCATGGTGCGTTGCCGTGCTGAAAACAAACGTGGAGGGCTATTGTTAAAGAGCTACAATATAAGGTTATTCTTATAAACTAAGGATTAAGGAGGCATACAACAGTAAGCCTCCGCAAATTGTTCACCGTTGCACTATTTGGTCTCTAGAAACGGCCTTTTTTGGCATATTTTTTTCCGGTGAAATTCGGCACTGGAGTGCAATAATTTGCATTATGCACGCCAGTTGGATGCCTCGTGGACGTCTAGAAAACATTAGAAGTAAAATGGGTCTTGTCGTGTAGTTGTGACATTCCGTCAAGTGGCGTAGCCATGGTGACCGGTAAGCCATTTTTGTGTTTGAAACGTGATATCCGACTACTTTGTAGAAATTCGCATCATGGAGCTGGCAAAAGTTTCGAGCGGAGCATAGAGCATGAATCTGTAGTTATTTAACATGAATAAAGTGTATGTTGTGTATGCGACGAAACAGTGTGAGTATTTCTGTTCTATGCTTATTCAGGCCTGCTGCCTATGGACGCCTTCTACTGTTAGAATTCCAACTCCCACAGCCCTAGCACACAGCTAGGCACTTGGCACGTTTCAATAATAAAATGAAGGTAAATAAACACGAGATGTATTTCCTATCAAAGTCTTAATGTCTCTCTACTCTCCTTCGCCTATTATTACTAATTATTTCCTGTAAATGAATGCTGTTCAAATGCTCCTCTGCGACAAAATTTCACCGCACGCCCCCACCCCCAGCGCCAAGCACGCCCGACTCAAAGGTACCCATGCATTGCTCACCCGTTGCGTGCATCGCTCCAGTTTATACAGTCGCGCTTTGTCCCGCATCGTCGAAGTCGGTACGAACGCCGCAGCGACGTCCTGTTCGGCGGTGACCGACCGGCAGGACGTGGGTGAAACAAGCAGCTCGCTGCTGCTGTTGCTGCCACGTATGTCATGCTTCACACATCTGCACCACGAACCCGCATCATCCACGGTAGCGTACGCGGCAGCTTCCCGCTGGCAGGCGAGGATGCAGCTGCGAGCGTCGCTGCTGCCGAAAGCATCCGTCCCGTCTCGCACTACGGCCGTACATCCGACGTACGAAGCTCCGGGAGCGTCCGTCCGCCTCCACTTCTGTGTACTCCTCACTCCCGTCGAATACTCTCGGATCCTTTCCTTCGGTTTCGCAAACGCCGGAGTTTGGTGCGAGTGATCGCTCATCTGGTAGAGGCACATGAGTGCGATCGCACTGATGATGATGCCGACGAGGATCGTCCTGCTCTCTCGCGCAGCCATGCTAGCGTGTAGGGTAGCGAGCGCGTGAAACTGCATACACCCGCCAGCTGGTTCTAGTGATGTGCTCACCGCTACGGCGATTCATAGTTGCTACGAAATCGTGGTTGCCACGTAATGCATGCGTGACGGAAGGTAAAAGTGGGTGAATGAATTCCGGAAGTTTAGTATTGAACTGCAGGGGCGTAGCCAGCCTTTCCAAGAGGGGGGATTCCTTCCAAGAGAGGGGATTCCTTCCAAGAGAGGGGATTCCAAACCTACTATATGTATACTAATAAAACTTCGTTAAAATTTTTGTTTCATGCTTTTATATGTACATACTGTATCAGATATGTGCTATTTTGATACAAACCAGGGAAGATTCCGGAATGCCTGGAATCACCCCTGGCTACGCCCTTGAACTGGTTCTTACTTATAAGCCCTTGTCCTTTATTTATTCTACCCAGTATTGCGGCTGGTTAACCCTTTCAACCCTGACAGCGTTAAAATATATTTGCCATATACCTGGTTTTTTTCTTCAAAAATCTTGCATTTTTCCGCGTATATACCGTCTTTTCGTTTTTCTTACACGATAACGAAAAACGGTAAAGGAAATAAGAATTCGTTTTTCGTACCGTCAAACGGAAAACGAGTGGCGCTGCAGTCGACTCGGCGGTGCCATGCCGCCATCCACCATGGCATCCACCACCAGTAGTGATTCTGTCTGCTCTGTTCGTCTGCCATTGAAACAATCGAACATGGCATGTTTAGAAGAATTCCACGGACTCATAAAAGACTTAATAGAAATTCAGCATATGGCACACGCGCAGGTAGCAGACTACAGGTAACACACGCACGAATCATCACTGTCTCGGCTAGTTAATGCGGCAGCCATGGTGGTTGGTGTTCACGTTATTAGAGAATAAATTATAATGGTGTATTTTGATTTTATTTGTTCAATAATTAAGCATATATTAGGCAAGTCCACTAGTAGTGAACCCTAGGACTAGGCTCTAGGGCGGTTTCACACAGTGTCAGTGTCAGTGAGGAGCGAAAACTATAGGTAACATTGTTGTGGCTATGTCAAATATTATTATTAATATTATGATAATATGATATCATATATGAATTATGATTATGTTATGATATACAGTATACTATTAGTATTACTACTAGTAGAAGTACTAGTACAAAATGTATTGGAGGGGTATTGTACTACCTCGATCCCGCATCTATAGCGGGAGGGATAGCTACACAGGTAAAGCTATTGGCCCAGTAGACGGGGTGTGTCACATAATGACACATGCTCCCTATAGGGAGAACCCTCATATAAATTTTGGCACAGCTGACCTTAGTGCACCACGAACCAGTAGTAGTATGATGACCCCATTGTCCATGCGAGTGTTTATCCGTCTGCCAGTGAGTTTGCGTATATGACCCTTCAATCTTGAGTCTGCCAATCCAAAATTATGGTGTGCACAAAAAACTAGAGTTTGAAAGTTGAAGCTGAGAAAAGAGTGAAAGCTGAGAAAGACGAGGATAGAATTTATTCTTAACACAGAATTTCCCATTTTTTGAAGAAAGAGTGTGAATGCTCGAGGGAGAGTGAGATCTAGAGAATGAGAAACAAAGAAAGGAATAGAGCAAAAAGGAATAGAGTCAAAGACAGAGAGAGCGAGAGAGAGAGAGAGAGAGAGAGA